ATATATATATATATCAGTGTCAGTTCAGGTTTGTTAATAAATTTAAAGTTAAATTAAAAGGCACTATTTACATTGTTTAAAACCAAAATTTCAAAAAAATTAAGATATAGTACAATAGCTTTTTTAAGTTTCATCGATTTTTTCAGGATCATAATCCGATCTTTGTTGATTATACTACATATTATTTATAATGTATATATGTAGTTTAAAAATAGGACCACGGTAGCATAATGGTCAGTGCATTGGCCCGGATACCGTAGTCCGCGTGGATTTTCTTCTGACAATTTTTTTTTTTATTTAGACATCTAGCATTTACTTGCTTAAAAAATTAAAAAATATAACTACTTACTTGATGGCAAGATTGACAATCATTCAATATGTTACAAGAGTAAATAATCAAAGTTTACAATCCGAGCTCGGGGTCAATTATTACATTAGTTTTCTGTCCAATGAAACCATCATGAGGTTATATAAATTATAATATGAACTCTTCAGATAATAACAATTAAGTATTGATATGGCAAGCTGGCACAGCTTCCGTAAATACTTACTACCTATATGAATATTATACTTCGGTATGTACTTGCCACGTACAACAACGAGACGAGGAACTGCTTTATTACGAGGTCAGAAATGCTTTATTACTTTCTGAACGTAGAAGAGACAGAGGGCGCCCTCCCGCCACCTGGTGGACCAGCATGACGTAGCCAATGACAGCTGAAAAATTACCCGATCCAATAACCCTAGACAGAGTCTTGGCACCTTAAGTGTCGCCGCACACGGGCCACCGACCACAACCACAAAACGCCGCCACCGGCATATTTCTTGTAGTTTTCATACATTTTATATGGACTCACCACACACGGTACGCCGGTGGCCGCCACACGCTACAAATCGTCGTTGCTCGCTTCTTGTGGCCCACACCGGCCACTTAATGCGCCGATACAAAACGCCGCCACACGTCACTCGCGCGATTCCCCACCCCTCTCTCTCTTGCCTTAGTCGGCCGCTGTCGCGCGCTTCAGCCACTTTAGTAGCAGCTTCTCGTGGCTGCGTTTGTGGCTGTGGCGTGTGGCCCGTGTGCGGCGACATTAAAATTAGGAGAGCCGACCCCATTTAAAGTGGGAAGGAGCAAGGACAAAGAAGAAGGTATGCACTTACCTGATAGGTTAGTGCATACCAAAATATTGTAGTCAGAATTATTATTTAATTTGCGAAATCGACAGGAGATGTTATAGTGTGGTCATATCGTAATAATTTAAACAGGCCACGCAATGCGATATAAAAATTCAAACATTTTGATGAACTTTCGTCTATAAGCTCTATCGCGTGATGGTCTTTACATTTGGTCTGCCATTGTAGAAGCTATTACTTATTATAGTTATAGTAAACTTTTGCGACGCCATTTTTGAAGTGAAAACTTCTTTAGCAGCGTTGTACACTTTTTTTTGTATGGGTAAAAAATGTGAAACTCTCGTCAGGTTAAACACGTGGGCTGATCGCATCATGACACGCAATAAAATTGAAAAGGTTGTTGACTTTCAATATATTGGATGAAACATAGTAATATTTTACTTAATCGTATTATAATAATAAGTCTCTATGTAGGACGTCCACGTGGCAGCTTTATTGCGAAGAAAATGTATTTTTTTTACAATAGACGTCGCAAGGTGCGCTTAAATGTGATTCAAATATTGTATTCTACCACATACATGATATTATTTTTTTACTGATATTTAAAACAATTCGTGCAAAATTATTCCCTAACCATTCCAAAATATCAAAAATGCACAACGTTAATATTCAAGTTTTCACTTCTGCCGGCACTTCCGGAGTGCAACCCGTCCTTTTTTATTATTTAGTTTACTTGCTTACTTAAATCTCAAATTTTGTAAATTTTATACACAATTTTCAGAGTTAACTACAGTTGTCCCTATCGCACTGTATTTGCTAATGCGAGACAGCAATAGTTTCTTCAAATACTTATTTCTCAAATGTCTCCTAACTCGCGTCCGCTCTTATTCATATTCATTTATTGCATTCTTGCTGTCTACATGCTGTTACAAAAAAATATATATCATTCCAAACAAGAACCTAGTTAGGGTATTGCAATAATCCTAAACTAAATAGATAGAATCTACAGTCATAATTATGAAACGTTCCAATATTACAAATTTTCAATGCTGTATAACATATTGTAAAAATTAATTCAATTTTCCAAAATATAATGCAAATGTCAAAATTTTGAACTTAATACTAAGTAGGTTGATCTACAGTTATAATTATAAAACGTTCCAACATAACCATTTAAAAATTAATTCAATTGTCCAAAGTATAATTGTAAGGTTTGTAAAGTTTTGAGAACAACGGCTTTGGAGTTAAGTGGAATAACCCAAATTATCTCGAAGTCCTTTCTTTCTAGATGCTTCTAGAAACACTCGTATCATAAATTACTGTCGTGTCATTCTTCTTTCATTCGTTCTCACCGAGTTCTCTAACGAATATTATTAGGAAGAAATCCGTATTACTTTGAACGTTTCAAGACGATATTGCGAGTTGTATAAATAAATAAATAACTAACAATTTTGTGAAAAGTCTTTTAGGTATAAATATACGAGTTACGACACACTCTCAGAATATTCTACCAAAGCTCTCTAAAATTCTCTATTGACTGCTTCAGGGTAAATATGATATTTCGCTACATAACATAGTAAGATATTACGTCAGTACAATTAAGTAATTCTGTTAACTTTTAGGATGATACAAATACAATATAACATACGAATATAGCTAGCTTATAACTTAATATCAATTTATTTTTTAATTATAAAATACAACAGGTGAAGTTCTTATAATCGGCAAAGTACTACTGCGTGCCCGCAACTTCACCTGCGTAAATAAGATTTTTCATAGCTTATTTCACCCTTTTAGGGCGGATTCACACCGGACTGGCAGCGCCACTGCGTGCGCTTTTAATGTAAAATAATTTCATACTTTAACTACATTCCTAAAAGACACTTATCGCTTTAAGAGCTCGAAGAAGTTGCGAGGCAGCTCGGGCCTCCACATCAGAACCGTTTCAAGTGATTGAAAGTATGTAGATAAAGCATTGTTAGGATAAATTTAAAAATTATTTCAATTAGCTATTTATGCTGACATAATTTCTCATGTTGACGACTCTGTATGTGTCTCGCGCTGTAGGTACAAACTGAATAAATGAATTTCAAATTTCACACGGAAAGTCGCCGCGTCGGTCGCTGCTATTCCGGTGTGAATAGACCCTTCAAATATGTACAATGTATGCCCATGTCCTTTTCCAAATAAAAAAACATCATAATTGTTTTAGTAAATTGGGCGCGTGAAATGGACAAACAGTTACTTTCATATTTAATTTTATAACATTAGGATTGTATAAATTCATTCAACTGCAGCAAAAGGAATTTCATAATGTAAGTTTGCTATGCCTGGCAACAAACGAAACAATTAAAATGGGGGGAAAAATATTACCAATTGCCTACATTCCTTTTTGGCAATCATGTAAATAAAATTAGCATGGAAAGATTTTTATCTATTTATATTAAATACCTATTGAATTAGAATCATCCGAATGCCGGTGTCGCTAATTAGAATAATAAAACAATAAACATACGATTATAGTGGATGTCCCTCACACAATATCTTTATCTAAGCCATGTCAATGGCGGGTCAGAACGAATCAATATGAATTTAGCGATACAATTGCGTCCAATTCGCCTTGAGAGCAATAAGGCCAATGGAATCGGGATAAGCTTTCGATCTTATGGAACACGTGGCTCATACGTTCTACATATGGTCGGCATGCATCAATTGATCAATGATTACAATGAAGATTTCCTTCTTACGTCAATATTAATGATTGTTGGAGACAACTGTTGTGCAATAGAGAATATTATACCTACTAGAGATAGTGTATTGTGATTATGTAAATGATAAATAGGTGAAGAAGGGATCAAATTTACAAACAATTCTATTGAAGGAAATATTCAAGTTGTCCCAGAAACCAGACCAATCAAAAACAAAATCAAAAAACATTTATTCAGTCTAGACTGTTACAAGCACTTCTGAAGGTTAAGAAGCTACGCCATCGGTTCGCAAAACTACGGCGGGAGACCTTGTACTGAGAAGAACCAACAAGAAACTCAGCAAGGGCTGTGTTTTCCTCTCTGTATTGCTATTTATATAGTCAAGTCAAGTCATCGAGTCGTCAAGTTGAAAAATGACTTCAGAGATACTTCTGAAGTCACCTTCCATTACATTATTTAGAATATAGATATATAGTTTTAATAAATTTTATGGTTAACTATATTTAGGAAGCGGCATCAGAAATCATCAGAATGAAAAATTACTAATACCCATCTTTTAACAAATTACAAGAAACACTATATCCATGTAATAAGATCATTTAGATAATCACCAACTTTATAATAGCCCTTATTCATAACAGTATTCTTGATCTGAGATTTAAATTTGGTCAGTGGAAGACTTGTGTTCAGACTGGAATCGATTGGGAAAGCTGTTTCACTTGTCACTATTATGATTTGTTTCCTGGTATGGAAGAGTGGAATTATTTTTGGGCTAGCGTCATGCGCAGTCTGGGCGGATGCACTGACGATTATCCTACCGCAATTTTACGGGATGACACGTGCGGTTTTTTAAACGACTGCAAGGCAGAAATCTCTATATACCTAACGTGATAATGATAAATTCATCTATTTAACTGAATTAAGAATAGCCATGCAAAATGTTACCATTTTAGGTAGGTACTTACTTATTTCCGTGTACACGAATGCTTTCCTAACAATTGTTATTTTGAACGTATCGTCACTTGATTGATTATTGTATGTTTTTTACCCTTTCCGATTTACTTGGTCAGAAGACTTTGATTTGAACTTCTAATGCTAGGAATTTAGTGCCATGTAAGAGATATGCGTAATCCTACTAACGTATTTATATTTTTTCAGCAACTGGCTCTAACGCCGTCGTCCCGGTCATACAAAGAGTGGGTAGCGCCGGCGGTGCCTTTGTACTTCGAGATTTACTTATTCAATTGGACCAACGCAGCAGACTTCCCCGCTGAGAAGCCCATCTTAGTAGAACTAGGTAAGTGAAAACATCAAGCTTTAAGTCGCAATAGAGCTTGGTTGTTAAGTGAAGCTAAAGTTGTGGTGGTGGAGTGAACTCATGTAAATTTGAAATTTGGAATGCATTTTTTTGATGATGCTTAAGCTTTGAAAATAAATACACCGTGAATTTTGAGAAACCTGACAAATTTTAACATCGTATAAATAAATATAGTAAGAACAGCTATAAACAGTTAAATCTATTTCACCTCCATACAAAAACATTGCCTTAAATAAATGGAATTTTTATTGGTTTAAAGTACGTTGATCTAAAAATAGCTTTATTTGAATCAATTTAGGACAGCTGAAATTGTTGTTGAATTCGCTAATAAATTTTCTTAGGTAGGTAAATGTAAATTTACGGTGTTTAGATATTACTCATTAGTCAGACCTCAAGGAAGAAATCGCATACGAATAATCAATAATAATGAGTTTGAAAATGTTCTTTTTACATTAAATTCATACCAATGTAGTTTCGTGGCTGAGGAAAGAGGACTTAAGAACCCCAAGAATTAGGGGTTTTCTTCTCAATTAGAAGGACCCTGATCATTGCAAGTGTGTAACATGTACTGATCAGGCTTATAGAGAGCAAAAAAAAAACAGGGAGACAATCGAAGAACCAAATTATGCCAAGATAGAGGTAAATCATAAAGTCAGCTGAAAAAATGTCCTTAAAGAATGGTAGAGAAAAAAGAACAGCCCAAAACAATTGAATAATGCACCCAATTTAATTAATGAAGATTTGACTTTGACTTGACTTTACTGAATAAACTCACGAGCTGAATTTACTCATCACGTGTTGTTTCTCTGATGATGTGATCCCACCACCGACTCAGACGATGATAATAATAATTTGACATTTATTGACAGTAATGAAATACTCGTTGACTCCGTCGCTCACGTCCGTCTTGATTAATTTGAAAACAACACGACGGGTGCGTCAGCAGTAATTTTATTAGAAGATGCATGTAAACTGAGAATATGTATACTAGTTTATATGCATATTGAAATAAGGCAGCAGTTAAGCATAGGAAATAGTATATAGTGCTGTTCTTGAGTTACCCATAAATGAGTTCAAATGTCACATTAAAAGTTGTTTAGTTAAGAAAGGCTATTATACTATTAAAGAATACTTGAATGACAAAACTGCATGGCTGTAACTGCAAAATTGTTTTGTATTTGTTTGCAGTGTCGTACAGATAAATTACCTTAACTCTATGTAACCATTTTGCAGATTGGTTTTAGTGGTTATGGGTAGTCATGCTCTCTTAAAAATCTCTTCGGCGGTGTCGTGTGAGGCGGGTCGTTGCGTTCCCTAAAATATGGTTGAGCGAAGCGATGGCTGGTTCATGCGTCATGCTCGTGAACGGGTGCTGCCAGCGGAGATGAGTCTGCTCTATACTACTTTATTATTGTAATGATAATTATTATTAAATTTTGATTGTATTTTACATTACACAACTTGTATTTATACTGTATGACACAGCAATCAAAATGTAAGTGAACATATATTATTTCTCTGATAAAGATTTAATGGCGGTGTGGATTCTGGTATGTTTTTCTAGACCTGAACTTGGTTTTGCAGTGGTGTATCCTTGTCATTCTCTATACAGACTGAAAGGGGGGGACTGATGTTTGATTGGTTTTGGGTTGGGAGAGTATTGCCAGGGTCCACAACAGTGTTTAGGTAATCACATGCATGTGTCCTGCCGTTGTGTTTATAGTTTATTATAATAATGTACACTGGTACCTATATGTATTTTTTTTTCTATTTTAGTAACATAGTGGTGTCGGTTCTGACACGATTCTCTAAACTTAAACTTAGATTTGACGACGGTGTATCCTTGTCATTCTCTATACGGAATGACAAGGAGGGATTGATGTTAGGTTTGGTTTTGAGTTTGGAGAGTCACGCCAGAATCGGCACCAGTATCCATGTGTGGTTATGAGTAGTCATGCTCTCTTAAAAATCTCTTCGGTGGTGTCGTGTGAGGCGGGTCGTTGCGTTCCCTAAAAAATGGTTGAGCGAAGCGATGGCTGGTTCATGCGTCATGCTCGTGAACGGGTGCTGCCAGCGGAGATGAGTCTGCTCTTAATTCACTGGGTACTACTATTAATCGTTGTTCTAAACTTTAATCGTTCATTATTATTATTTTCTTTTTGCCTAAGCGGTAGGACACGTCATTCCTAAACTTTGTTAAACCATTTTTTTTTAACATATTTTAATTTTTTATTTTATAGTCATAATTTTTATATTATTTGCATTTTTTTTTTGTTTGTAATGAAAAGTGACTTTATGAGTTACCTCATATTGAAGTCATTTTTCAATTTGACGACTCTGTATATAATACAGGGAGAAAAAAACAGCCCTTGCTGAGTTTCTTGCCGGTTCTTCTCAGTACAAGGTCTCCCGCCGTAGATTTGCGAACCGATGGCGTAGCTTTTCGACATTCACAAGTGCTTGTAACAGCCTAGACTGAATAAACGATATTGAATTTTGAATTTTGAAAATCTTCTTCTGTGTCCATTAAGGATAACTACAAGGATAATAACAAACTACAAGCAGATTTTCACAATTTCAAAAAAATATTTTGAGTACTTACGCTAAGCTGCCTATAAACACCCTGCCTGCGCAACAATTATTTTTCTTCAATTTATTTTTACGAGATAATATTCAGGAATTGTTTGGGATTTAATTGAAAGCGCTATGTCGCATTTATATTACACTAGCGAGTGAATCAATTGATATCCCAGACAAACTTTCACCCCCATCTTCATCCCCTTAAAGGATGATTTCTGTATTTCTCTCTTTCCCGAGACTCAAAGTATATTTATTAGCTACTAGCAAACCCGGCGAACTCCGTTTCGCCACCAAATGGCTTCTTTTTATGTAACATTTCGTTTGGTGATTAGAAGATTTTTTTTTATATTTTTTCTGAATTTTCTTTGCTATAAACCCCACGGAGCCCGAGACCTTTCCAACGAATGCAAAACCGTGGAAATCGGTTCGTGCGTTCTGGAGTTATAGCGTCAGGAAGGAAAACCCGACTTATTTTTATATAGTAGATATCAAATTACATCTAAATCGATTCAGCAGTTTAATCGCGAAGAGGTGACAGACATACAGACTTTCGCATTTATATTATTAGTTTAGAAGTGTGGATAATAATGTGGAATCCTTTATGTGGGTATCACACCTGTTGACTACGCTAAGTCGACCTTTTTTATAGTATTTATGTATTTTTGATAGCTCTATTTTTCTATGGTGTTTATGGTTGTATTTTGTTACTTTTCATTATTATACGTCATTGTCACGAAGAAGAGAGTTTTATTTTAGCTTTTTCCTACGTTTTTATCAAAGTATCCCACTTCTGACACCACTTTGATAAAAACGTAGGAAAAAGCTAAAAACACCCATAGGTACGATTGGATACAATCTATTAGGTAAATAACAGTTCTTAAACAATTTTAAAACGATTGGATGGCATTGTTTTATCATTATAAGATAGAATATACGCAATATTGTTAAATTGAGTGCGCATTCAGCGTGTTTGAATGTCCAATTGTGACTGAATCGAATTGTGGTGCATGACCACAATTATAGCGGATCACTTATGAGCTGCGAGTGTCGTATCTTCCCTTTTTGTTTTAATCTAAGGATAAACTACGTTTCTCCATACATAATATGATGAACACTATGTTAGAAAGTACATATATACATAATTATTATGTAACTGAAGTGAAACAAACATTTGTGTATGTTATTTTAATAATCTTAGTGAATATCCACCATAATCACAAACTACGAATAATTGATGATTTTCTTGAACACCTGGTTTAACTTTTCACACTTTCAAAGTTAATCGATAGATATCATGATATCTTATTTATAACTTACTACAATAAACAGGTGTACAAATAAGATAATTACGTAAGGTACTTTTACACTTACTTTCGATAAACAAGAAATTAATATAATCTATACTAATATTATAAAGCTGCAGAGTTAGTTTGTTTGTTTGTTTGAACGCGCTAATCTCTGGAACTACTGGTCCGATTTGAATGATTCTTTCCGTGTTGGGTAGCCCATTTATTGAGGAAGGCTATAGGCTTTAATTTTTGACGTGACAACGTCTTAAATTAGGTTGCGGCTGGGAGTCACTTATGAAAAAGTGTAACGCTCGGTAACGTTACGATGAGTCTCTCGTGTTAAGTTTAAGTTTACATGTACAATGTTTTAGTAAACAAAATATATTTCTATAGTTAAAATTTGTGTAATTCTTATTTTCATTCAATTCCTTGTTCCTATTGTGCAATTTAATTATATTCATATCAATAAATATTCTACCGAGAAAAAGACGTTGTCACGTAAAATCTTCGCCCGTAAAACCGACTTTACAGGCAACCATTTTTTTTTTAAATTTAGGGATCCGTAATAAAATTGCTATTTTGTAACACAAGGTGTAAAATCGAAAACCTATTTTTGCGTGCGCTGCAAAAACTATTGACAATAGAACAAAATGATGTACTACGGGTTTGTAGATCCCATTAAGACCTACAAAAAATTCCGCGAGAACATATATCTAGCTATCATGGTTTAATCACAATAACCGATTTTGTGTTCAAAATAATTATTAAATATAAATAAATAAATAAATATTTATTATTATATAGATGATTCAAGAATTACATTTTTATGTTTCATGAAATATCTTATCACAGTTATATTTGCTATTTTTTAAGCATGTAATTGCTATACGAAAATTCAAAATTCAATATCGTTTATTCAGTCTAGGCTATTACAAGCACTTGTGAATGTCGAAAAGCTACGCCATCGGTCGCAAATCTACGGCGGGTGACCTTGTACTGAGAAGAACCGGCAAGAAACTCAGCAAGGGCTGATTTTTTCTCCCTCTTTTATTTCATACAGTGTCGTCCAATTGAAAGTTGACATCAAACTTGCAAACATGTGTTGAGGTCAAGTTTCATCACAAAATGTCAACATATGTCACATATGTTTAAATCAAAAGTAACTTTACTAGAAAAAAAAAAACACGCGGACCAGGCAGCAGACGGGACTATAATTTCTATTTCTTCTTTCAAATGTTAAATACTTGCAAAGGTATTCATTTGACATCGTGGGTTACCTACAATGCGAAGACATGGCGCTGCCTTGCAGCTTAAGAAAGGCTAGAGAAAATTCGACACAGCCTTAAGGGCCGCGGTAGCATAATGGTCAGTGGCCCGGATAGCGAAGGGTGCGGGTTTGAGTCCCGTCTGCTACCTGGTCTGCGTGGATTTTTTTCTAGGAAAATATCTTATCATTTTCAGATTTAAAAGAGCGCAACATAGGCTAGTTGAGTCATGTCAAATTGCACTATACAAATGTTTATTTCTTATAATTTTTGGTATGAGGAACCTAAATACAACGATTTCACTTCATAAAATTAAAAGATGGCTGTATTCATTTAATTTGAAAAATAGTTTTTTAGTCTATGCTTTTTAAACACTAAAAACGCTGTCCACCATGATTGTGACGTTAACATAATAGCAAAACAACTAAACGTCATTGTCGTGTTACTGTGGTTTCTTTCGTCCGACTAAAATATATCTAAAAACTCTTATATCTTGAAGAAAAGTTTCCGTTTATTGGTTTTCTTGACTACATGAATGCTGGACGCCGGATTTGTAAAAGCAGAAACGACAAAACTCTTTGACTTAGCAGGTACATTCATAACCTTAAAAATTTAAACCACAACATTTCTGGAGTTTTTAACGATGTGTTTCTTTATTCTCGTATAATACAATCATGATAATTACTATATTTATCATGAAATCTATTAGAAATCATGGTTTTGTAATGTAAATTCAGATAGGTTATATCCAGTGTTGCCAGTACCTGCGTCGTGTTTCGGACGATTCGAAATCTGAAAAGGGACGATTTTTAGTCAAAAAGGACGGCCCTACAGAAATATTAAACTAAAGGCTGAACTATATTTATCTTACGTGTTGTGTTGTGGCGCGATCTGGTTCATACATTTAGTACGGTTAGCACTAAGAACTATACAGAAGCAGATCTCTATTAAAAAATTTAGACATATTAAAATTGACAATCCAGTTAAGAAATGTGTATTTATTGCTATTTTGGACATTTTGCTTATTTTTCTATTAAAATTTTGACTATTAGTATAATTGACAATGGCTTATCAAATTTATAATTAATTTATAATCTACTTTGACATGCATGTAACAATAGACAATTTCAAATTATATTCATAAATTGTGATTCCAATGTAAAAATAATAGTACTTCTTTCATAGGTCCTTATCTATTTGTATACCTTAATTAAGGTGGAAATGTAGTGATACTAACAAAAATTATATATACCATGTATACTAACCTATGTTTCACAAATAAAATTCTGAAATTCTGATTCTGATTAAACCTGTGTGTCGCGATGTGTCGACAGCGTTCTCACATTAACCATAATTGTATGAAACAGATAGCTCTCTGATGTGTTACAATACAACACGACAGGTAAGTGTAGTTCTATTATAATGCGGTTAAATGAAAAGAAAAGCGAGTCTGCTTAGGAACACACGACTGGAAGTGAAATTTCTATAGCTCCAATGATCTGTAATTTGATAGAAAAAAACCATCAATCCGCGCTGGGTCCGTTATCACACACCAATCCGTGCTGGGTCCGTTATCACCCACCAATTCGCACTGGGTCTATTGCCACCCACCAACCCGCACTGGGTCCGTTATCATCCACCAATCCGCACTGGGTCCGTTATTATACACCAATCCACACAGGGTCCGTTATCACCCACCAATCCGCGCTGGGGCCATTATCACCCACCAATCCGCACTGGGTCCATTGCCACCCATCAATCCGCGCAGGGCCCGTTATCACCCTAAAATCCGCACTGGGTCCATTATCACTCACCAATCCGCTCTGGGTCCGTTATCACCCACCAATCTGCGCTGGGCCCGTTATCATCCACCAATCCACGCTGGGTCCGTTCCGTTATCATCCACCAATCCGCACTGGGTCCGTTATCACTAGTGTTGCCAGGTCCGATTTGTTTTAAGTCGGTACATGAGGTGAAAAAAATCGGGACTTAGGGTTGTAGATCAGGACAGTAAACAAAAAACGAGGGTTTTTTAGTCTGGGTTTATTTTTTGAGATTTAAACCACTAGTGCAAGTATAGTATTATATTAATTACCTAACTTTCATTTTTTGATTCATCGGGTTATTTAGCGTCCCGATCAGGTACAAATCGGGACGCGTCCCCACACCCCTGAAAATCGAGACATCCCGCACAAATCGGGACACCTGGCACCACTAGTAATTACCCACCAATCTGCGCTGTGTCCGTTACCATCCACCAATCCGCGCTAGGTCCGTTATCCAGGCCACCTAGCCAAGCACTAGATTTATGTATTTTGTGACAGGTATTGTTCATTGTTTACCGATGAGTCACCGATGACACTAATCGTAACGCGAAATCGTAACTATTCGCCAGTTTACCCCCCAAGTCAAGCGTGCATAAAGAAGTTTCACTTCAAAAAACATTTTAACAGAGCCATATTAATTATATTTTTTTGGGCACACAATAAACATAAAGAAGATGGTACGGAGGACATAGGTACATCATGGTGGTACGAACGTATCGTACGTACTTACGACTTAACAAAGCAAGCACTTATTTTTAAGTTACCTATTTATTATCTTTATAATTGAAATATAGGTACCTCAACAACAAAAGTTTTATTAGGTAAGATATGGTAGGTTATTGGGTTTGAGCTTTGAGTTGGTATATAGATATAGGTAGGTATTTGTTAAACGTCACCTTCGTAGCGAGCGTTGGATTCGATGTAGTTTACTGGGTGATTTGACGAATAGAGTTGACAATGTACAACGAATAGTGATGGCAATTTAGTGAAACGAAACGCATTCGTCTAATGTTGCAGTGAAGCGTTATCGAAAACGGACGGAAAAGGGACGGAATATGTAAAAGGACATCGATGGGACGCTTTGATGAGAAAAGGGACGAAAATCGTCCCTTTTGGGACGTTCTGGCATCACTGGTTATATCCTGCGAGTGTTTGCTTACTATTGTTCCCGTCATACCATAGATAATCTATAGACTAAAATGGCCGACAGCGTTTTTGTATGTCCATGAAAAATCTATTTTAAAATTAAAGTTTTGTAGCTTTCTAGTTAAAAAAAAATTACAATACATTTTTTTCGGTCTAATTGAACAATTATTAACCATTTAAAACATATTTCCGAAAAGTGTCAACTAGCCTAATCGTACAATCAATGTCGTTATTTTGGACCAAGGTTTTTAACATTTATTGATAGGTACTTCGAACAAAAACTTTATTGGTATAAATGTCCTTCACTCTTCATGGCATTCATTAAAAATTCTACTGATACTCCCTTACATGAAACTATGATTGAATGTTTGTCGTTTTCCAGGCCCGTACCGGTTCCGCGAGCACCGGCGGCACGTGAACGTGACGTGGCACCACAACAACGACTCGCTGTCGTACCGCACGCTACGAAGCTGGCACTACGACCCCACCAGTAACGGCTCGCTCAACGACAACATCACTACTCTCAATGTCATTGCCGCAGTAAGTATTTTTATGAAGGGAAACTTCTTTACGCACTTATTTTTATAGCTATTAACGGGATTGTTACCATGTACCTTGTTTTTTATGATATCGGAGACTCATAAAAAACAAGGTACATGGTAACAATCCCGTTAATAGCTATAATGTTAGTGACCATGAAAGTTTAAAACAATATATTGTTTACGCACGCTTGACTTGGGGGGTAAGCTGGCGAATGCTTTACGCGTTACGAAAAGTGTGTTCGGGCGAGGCGAACGGGAGTTGAGTGGGGGATATAAGCAAGAGAAAGCAGTGCGTGCGTACATTTTCTTTCTTTCTTTCTCTTATAGTTGGTAAATGAAATATGTATGTGAACATACATGTATATATGTACACACACATATATATACAGGTGGTAAAAAAACCTATGACAAAGACTTAAACTACGCATTCTGTACACCAAAACAAGTCATATTACAAAATATTATAGGTGGGGAAAAAATTGTATTTTTAAGTTAAAACAATACAATTCTTTTCCAGTACGCAATCCATAGCGCGGCGCGCTACTGTGGCGCTACGCAAAGAATGTGCTTGTGTGTGCGTGTGTCTAAGTGCGTCGATAAAAAAGTTTTTAAATAACATTTTGAAAATATTAATGTATACATCTTGAAAAAAAATTTTGCCTTTGACCTTCAATATACCAGAAGAAAAAAATGATCGTCATGGTGAGGAAAATACGTGGCTTTCGACTTCGTTATAGGTTTATTACACCCTGTATATATACATACAGATGGAGCTAAAGAGGTTTCACTTGAGTCGTGTGGTCATTAGCACACTACTATAACAAGCCGGTGGTAAGCAATGAATGAACAGGGTAACAGTTAAAAAAACACGGAGAAAAACTCAATATCCTCTGAGAAATCTTGTATTAGTCGCAATTTGATTTTTACCCTGAAAAATAACAAGGAACGTTATATTAATACTAGCTGACCCAGCGAACTTCGTATGTATTTTTGTATGATGTATCATTAAAAAATTAAAAAAAAATGAAAAAAAAAATTAGGGGTGGATTACCCTTAACATTTAGGGGAATGAAAAATAGATGTTGTCCGATTCTCAGACCTACCCAATATGCACACAAAATTTCATGAGAATCGGGAAAGCCGTTTCGGAGGAGATTAACCACAAACACCGCGACAAGAGAATTTTATATATTAGATTGGTTATGGGTATTGGGAATCTTGGAGGTAATGTTTACGAGTTACAAGTCGATTCGAATGATATGGATGACAGTGGTGCACGCAGACAGATGCTATCCATTCAATACCTCCGAGCACTGCCCTTCGCTGACTGGCTCTAAAGAATATCAAACGTGTCGTGGCACAACTACAACGACTCGTTGTCGTATCGCTTGTTCCGCAGTTGGCACTACGACTTGAGCAACAACGGCTCGCTCAACGACAACATCACTACGCTCAACGTCATTGCCGCAGTCGCGGTTACCCCCGGGGTAAATATAAAGAGGAACTTCTGGAAGGAAGGCTGGATTTAAGGCAGAGCAAGCGAAGCTGGGGGGAGGGGGGGGGGGCTCCACTCCTTCGTTGCCCCAGTTCCGCCACACCTCTAAATCCAGCCCTGAGAATTAACTAAGACGAAGTTATGTGTTACATTTTGTAGCATCATCTAAATACGGCAGTGAGAATTAACTTAGACGTAGTTATATGTTACATTTTGTAGTATCATCTAAATCCGGCCCTGAGAATTAACTAAGACGAAGTTATGTGTTACATTTTGTAGCATCATCTAAATACGGCAGTGAGAATTCACTAAGACTAAGTTATATGTTACATTTTGTAGCATCATCTAAATCTGGCCCTGAGAATTGACTAAGACGAAGTTTTGTGTTACATTTTGTAGCATCATCTAAATCCGGCCCTGAGAATTCACTAAGACGAAGTTATATGTTACATTTTGTAGCTCATCTAAAAAATCCGGCCGTGAGAATTAACTTAGACAAAGTTATATGTTACATTTTGTAGTATCATCTAAATCCGGCCCTGAGAATTCACTAAGTCGAAGTTATATGTTACATTTTGTAGTATCATCTAAATCCGGCCCTGAGAATTGACTAAGACGAAGTTTTGTGTTACACATTGTAGCATCATCTAAATCCGGCCCTGAGAATTCACTAAGACGAAGTTGTGATTCTTTCGATTTCTTAGAGCGAACCGAAACATAACATCTCTTTTTAGTTTGTTTGGTTTCTATTAAGTTTATTTATTACTAGCGGTCCACCCTCGCTTCGCTTCGGTGTAGAGCTGAAGTGTAGGCTACAGCTTTTGTTCTCAGGCTTGTATTATACACAATGACATTCATCTATGATTCTTCTTATACCTACATGCAAAGTCTCAGCCCGATCCGTTTTAAAATTGACAAAGTTTCATACAAACTTTCATTCCCTATTTTATCCCCTTGGCGGTAGAATTGATCAAAATCCTTTCTTAGCGGATGCCTACGTCATAACATCTACCTGCATGCCAAATTTCAGCCCGATCCGTCCAGTCGTTTGGGCTGTGCGTTGATAGATCACTATGTCAGTCAGTCAGTCACCTTTGAGTTTTATATGTATAGATATGTGAAGTAAAAAGTAAGTATTAAAACAAAGCGAAAGTGTACAATTACTTAATCGTCGCGTGATAATTTTATAAATCGTGCGTTGTTATTAAGCCACCAAATTTATCGGAAAAGAGATAAAATTGGGTCATTACACTAATTACATCTAGTCAAAGTTTAAGATAATGCTTATATAGTAGTTCGTCGACCTGTGCATTACAGAAGATTTCGATTTAAACGTCGAATTTTAATATATTTCCTTGTTTTTACGACTCCAAGGGTATTGTAACGGGCTGTCGTAAAAAAAACAGTGTGCAAGGACCACACATCTGAAGAGAAACTTCTTTTCTTAAAAAAACAAAGGTTAGGTGCATAAAGCATAGGGGAATGAGGCAGTGCAAGCATCACATATATATATATATATATATATATAGGGTGAAATTGAATGTTTCAATGAAACTTCGTGAGATTGTTGGGTTACGAGTATAGAGTATGCCTGATTTTTTTCGGATTTTTTTGAAGTATTTTTTTCATGTATTTATTTATAATTTGTGTATTTTTTTGTCCTTTCCTCCTTTTGAGTAGTTATTCATATTAAACAAACATGCTTACATATCCAGTGAAAAACAACTAATAAATAAGCACTTCTAAAAAACGGAAAAACAGTAAAATTCCACCGCGGGTCAACGACTGACCGCGCCCGCCAGCCGTTGAGTGAGTAGGTACGTACACAGAGCTTAGCTGACTCGTTTGATTCCACACAATACAATAAAATCGTCTTAGATGCCTTTATTGAAATTGAAATAATAAGCACAAATGTCATCTTCTCTTAAGCAGAGAAAAACTTAAAAAGTTAATAATAATTTTGTCATGATTGGAAATAGGCAAAAGTTAAAAAAAAAGAAATACTTATTGCAGTTCAATACTTTGGTCAGAATGAAATTTATTACCAGGTATTCAAAGGTACTTACGAGACCGATGTACCTATTAATTTTTTTCTCTATAACTTCCCAATAAATCACCAAACCTACTTTCGTAAAGCCTTGTGGCTCTGCTGAGTATTCCGTGACACTCGCAATAACAACACACCATATCCAAATTCTTATATTGAGGGCACAGAACAAGAACTAATCAAGGCATTATTTGCAAATCTTGTCTTGTCACAAATTTAAAAGATACGCATGCGCGCTTGAGACTCCGCTCGCTCACTGCGCTGTGCACCGCGCATACCTAGATAGGTAGGCAGGAAGGTATTCAACGGCGGGAGCGGTCATTGCTCCCGGCCGCCCGTCTCCTGTTTTTACGTCTTTTTTAGTAGTGCTTATTACTTGTTTTTTACTTACTCTGTATGCATGTTTTAAAAGAATAATTATTTAGTACCCAAAAGGAGGAAAGGACTTAAAATATAACAAAAAAAAACAAAATTTTATTTTAAATCATTTTTTAAAATATCCAAAAAAATTCAGAGATACTCTATATACGTAACCCAACATTCCCACGAAGTTTCATTAAAACATTCAATTTCACCCTGTATATATACATCACTCATATATACATATTTGACGACTCTGTATATAAAACAGGGAGAAAAAAACAGCCCTTGCTGAGTTTCTTGCCGGTTCTTCTCAGTACGAGGTCTCCCGCCTTTGATTTGCGAACCGATGGCGTAGCTTTTGGACATTCACAAGTGCTTGTAACAGCCTAGACTGAATAAACGATATTGAATTTTATATACGTTTCCTGGTCTTCAAGATAACATTTTATAGAGGTTGGTTCTATATTTTTATAAAATCGTTAACAATTGCGAACGAAGTATGACAACTTACTTATTGTCTGATAAGTATGTCGAGTTAGGTCAAGGTAGCCGATTCGGCTCCCAGACGTGAATGTTAAATAAAATCAGTACGGTCAAACAATTGACCTCTGAAGCCCGGTAGTGTGATTTTGCCCACAAACAGAAAAAATGCAAAAGTATTATAATGCCAAAAAAGATATTCCTCACAAGCAATTCAGCATAGGTCACTTTTTAATCTTAAGTTCTTCTCTCGCTACTAAAACTGCATATAAATAATTTCTAATTTATTTTCTCTCTGGAAGATGATTAAAAGTCTGATTAGAAAAATGTCTTTCCTAATCTGCTTTTTTTTCTATGTTTGGATTTCTTGGGCATTGGCATGGCATTGGTCGGGATTTAGCGTTGGGCACGCGGCTGGTCTTCGAATAGATGATCAAAATTAATTGGCTAGATCCTCCGGGCACTCCGAGTCTGCACGTTAAGCAGTTGAATCCGATGATTATCTTTTAATTTGATTTTATTTATTTTTAAGCATTTAACTGCTAGATGTTTAAATCTAAAGAAAAGTTTACTAGAAAAAAATCCACGCGGACCAGGCAGTCCCATCCGCTGAGGAGCTTGATGGCGCAAGTGGTTAGCGCGTTCGGCTGCGATCGTTGAAGTTAAGCAACTTTCGCAGTGGTCGGTTATTGGATGGGTGACCAAAAATTTACTATCTCGAGTTCCTCCGTGCTTCGGAAGGCACGTTAAGCCGTTGGTCCCGGCTGCATCTGCAATCGTTAGCACCCACCAATCCGCACTGGGCCCGCGTGCTGGGTCATGGCCCAATCTCCCTATTCCATCCATAGGGAAGGCCTGTGCCCCAGCAGTGGGGACATTAATAGGCTGATGATGATAATGAAACTTTTCTTTAAATCTTTTAATTTGTTAATTTATATGTGTATAAAAGACATTTTTACATCAATTTGGTGTCTAGTAAGGTGTAGGTTGTTTCCCACGACGGGCGTTCCTCTACTCCTAATCAATATATTGAAGAACAACTCCTCCACCTTTAATCGTAGCTCAATGCTGAGCGTCGTGATGTTTCCGACTCATATTTCCTTCACAGAGCTGCTTCCAGTTTTCCCTATCTTTAGCGTGGCCAAGACCGTCAGTGATGGCGGTGCTTAAGGCATTTTGATATTTGGTGGTCCATTTAAGTAGCAAGGCTGCGACATCTTGCTCTTGAAGAACAACTAGGTATGTAAAATTAATCAAATAAACCAAATCCTCCTTTTTGTATATGCAGTCAGCAGTGTTCCGGTCGCGGTTCTGGGGCTACTTCCAGCAGAAGGGCCTATCTATGGGTCTGGCGATGTTCGGGCAGCGCGTGTCTGTGTCCAAGACGGCACGCGAGCTGCTGTTCGACGGGTATGAAGACCCGTTGTTGGACCTGGCCAAGAGTCTTCCGGCGAGCACTACCGGAGGAGCACCGCCTGTCGACAGATTCGGATGGTTTTACGAGGTATGATAATTTTCTTCTGAGGGTTTCTCAAGAAAACGGCTTCTCTTTCTCTTTATTTAGTCCCTCGGAGTTGAAGATCGTGATCCCTTTCTTAACGTCCCGGCCCGGCCCGGACGGTAGAGTGCCAAGCTTTGCGGTCCGTTGCTGGCCTTGCTGCCTCTTACAATTTCTTTTCAACCTCACTATTCAAGCTTGCTGGTATTTGAGAGTTCTCAGTCAACAATCGCTCTCACGGCATAACCGCTGCAATAGATGTTTCACATTAAAAGCGTAATTGTGTAAAGAAGTTTAATATCTAGAAATATTTACTTAATAACTGATATTTTTCAGAGAAACAATTCCTTGGACACTGACGGGTTTATGGAGGTGACAATAGGAAATTCGTACGGGTCGTTGCCAGGTCAAATTTTAAGGTGGAACCACGAGGACAGCCTCCCGTTCTATGGGGGAAAATGTTCCAGGGTAAGACAAAGGAAAGATAATGTGCTTTGCCTAATGATGTACTTGCCGGTTGTTTTTAATAGAAGGTTCACTAATTACTCCATAATCTTCTTGATTTAGTTTGAGTGGAGGTCAGTTGCGATGCTAACTGTTATGGTAGAGACACGCCGTATTCCATCTCTTGTTTCTCTTACCTGAGTTGATTTTTTTTATAGATAGGTCCGACAAAAGACTCTACCCCACCTGATGTTAAGTGATGGTGAAGTCCAGCAGTTCTACCTACCACACCAGCCATCCTCACCTTGCCGGCCTGCATGTTGCCTTATCTCTTATCATGTTTTATCTCTGTATTAATCCTTTTCTATCAAGTTCTGCGGTGTTTCATTCTGAAGGAACACGACACTGTTGTGGGGCTGCAGTGTTCAGTAATAAGGTAGATAATTACTCAAAACCGCCAAGTCTTGTACGTCATGTAACTTTCTTTATATCTTACATTGGTGTCGATTCTGGCATGATTCTCTAAACTTAAAACTAAATTTAATATCAGTCTCTCCTTTTCATTCTGTATAGATAATGACAAGGATGCACTGTTGTCAAAATTAAGTTTAGGTTTAGAGCATCATTGATGTCGTAAAGTAGTTCCTGACAATAACGCGTTTAATCAAACAAGCAAACTATAGATTGATTATAATATTAAAAAGTGTTTATATAAAAACTTTCCGTCAGCTGGAGGGCAGCGTGGGAGAGTTCCTACCTCGAGACTTATCCGAGGAGTCGCGGTTGACGATGTTCCTGCCGGACCTGTGCCGCACCGTCAACATGGACTACCGCTCAAGCGGCCAGATGTTGGGGCTGAACTACCACAAATATGAACTGTCAGAGGGCAGCTTCGATAACTGTAAGTGTCGTAGTTTCGTGTTATTTTGTGTAAGAACTAATAAGAAGCCAGATTCGGGACATGTCGTAGCAGTCACAGACTCATAGCAGACAAGGTCCAGATGACTAGATGCTGGGATGCACTACCACAAACACGAACTGTCATAGAGCAGCTTCGATAACTGTATGTTCGATGCTTTTTAAGTTTAGCTTTTTTTTACCAAACCTTTACTGATGACATCAGGTATTAATGTACCCACTGTTAAGGCACAGATCCTATTGATGGGAGAGGGAGATTCGGCCTTGATCCACCATGCGAGCTCAGTATGGATTGGTGGGTGCTAACGACTGCAGATGCAGCTGGGACCAAAAACTTAACACGTGCCTTCCGAATCACGGAAAAGCTCGTTAGTCCATTAGTGTTTTGTTACCCATCCAATGACCGACCGGGTGAATACTGCTCCGTGAGTCCTTAGCTTTGATTAGAAGCGTTACAATGCATAAAGTATAATTATTCTGGAGGGACCTAATTTAAATGAGGTCCCTCCAGAATATCAGCGTTGCCACAGAATATATACACTACGCGAAAAGAAGCGACACTCAAGCATGTGTGCTCGTAAAATCGCCCGCGTCTATGGGTGGGTGTCTGGAGGTGCGCGGGGGCGTTGCGCGGCGCGCGGGACGTGGAGAGGGCAGTCGCCTACTGCCTCGACCGAAGGCATGGCAGTAGCGAAATAGTAAAATAATAGCGTTGCACTGCATTGCACGCACAGACTGACTACGCTACGCAATCTTATTATTACTTAGATAATAATAAGAATTATAAAACGAATCGAAAAAGGAGAAAATATATAAAAGTTTGCAATTTGTTATAGTACCTACATTAAAAGATTAAAACTTGATTATAAAATCAAACCTATCCTTCATTATTTACCCCAGTATCCTTGAATCAGTTTACATTTAATAACTTACTATGCATATTCATTGGCACAAGTCTAAATTCCAAGTTCAACCCTAGCGCATACACGCTCCTGCTCAAGGTCACTGACGCTGGAACTCTCACGTACAGAGAGTGTCACCGCCGTGGCGCTGCAGCGGCTATCCATTTGCCGTTGCAACATTGTGCTGAGGTAGGGTCTAGTTAATGTCTGTCGTCAATAAAAGCTTTTCTTTCTAACGCCTCTTATTCATTTGTACGCAGCATCCTTATCACTGAGCAACACATGCTTCTGCGGCGGCGCGTGCGCGTGGGGCGGTGTGATGAACGTGTCCGCGTGCCGGTTCGGGTCCCCCACCTTCGTGTCCTTGCCGCACTTCCTGCGTGCCGACCCTGCGCTGCGTGCCGGCGTCGATGGCATGAAGCCTGACCCTGAGAAGCACTCTTTCTACTTCGCTGTGGAGCCGGTGAGTAACTCTGCCACTTCATCAAGCCCACCGCTCCTTCTCTATGATCGTGGAGACGACGAGTACTTCTGCCATTCCTTCTCACTCGCCACTTCTAAATGGAGCCGGTAAGTCAAAGGTCTAAAGCCCGATCCCGACAAACACTTCTTCTACTTCGCTGTGGAGCCGGTGAGTAACTCTGTCACTTCTTCTAGCTCGCCGCTCCTTCTATATGATCTTAGAGGCGACGTGTACCTCTGCCATTCCTTCTCACTCGCCACTTCTAAATGGAGCCAGTAAGTCAAAGGTCTAAAGCCCGATCCCGACAAACACTTCTTCTACTTCGCTGTGGAGCCGGTGAGTAACTCTGCCACTCCATCCAGCCCACCACTCCTTCTCTATGATCGTGAAGACGACGAGTACCACTGCCATTCCTTCTCACTCGCCACTTCTAAATGGAGCCGGTAAGTCAAAGGTCTAAAGCCCGATCCCGATAAACACTTTTTCTACTACGCTTTGGGGCCGGTAGTAACTCTGTCGATCCTCCTAGCTCGCCACTCCTTCTATATGGCCGTAGAGCTGGTCAGTACTGCCTGCCTACTTCTTGCACACCGAACCCGCACCGGCGTCGTCGGGATGAAACCCGTCTCCCTGAGAAGCACTCCTTCTACTTTGTTGTGGAGCCGGTGAGAGCTCATCACCATCATTAGCCACAGGGGCGTATTTATACTAGGACCAGAAGGGTAACAGACTGCAGAAGCTGCGAGAGGTAGATGAAGTTTAAAAAAAGGCATTATTTCAAGACGTAACGTCATGTAGGGCAATATGGCGTGACTAGCACACTAGCGCTTTGCGGCACAGCTGGAACTAAAGTTGTCACAGGCCTGTCCACAACCAGTAGCCGGCACACGGGAAGCGTGCGGGCAGCTTGCGAGCGATGCGAGGCGGTGACGGTACGGAGTTGGTGTAGTGAGCGTATCTCCATAGAAATCCATACAAAGACTATCAACCGTTCGCGTTGAGGCGGTGCTGGTCAGGTGCCGGGTGGTTAAGGTGAAATTTTGTATTTATTTGTTTAACGTTCATCCTTTTTAGGGAAGGTAAAGGGAACAATGCCCATACAGCCTATTCAGTTTTTTTTTGTTTTTTTTTTACATTAGTATGTGGGTGTGACGCATTCTAATGTTTCTTGAAGTGTTTGGCACGAAGTGTATCGAGACAGCTTTTTCGACAAACTTCTGAGGTAGTCAACACTATAATAAAGTTCTCACGTCCACATGGCCGTAGAGTATATTTTAAAGATTCCACAGATTCAGTCGTGCAGACTGTTCTAACACAAAATCACATCAATATTATTTCACAATATCTATTATGAACGAATTAAAGAATAATTAAAATAAGACGCCAACCGCATTCGATGAAATCCCGCCAAAAACTCCTGTTTTTTTTATTGTTATACAATTATATAAGCGGTGTGTAAATCTATAAGCCATTAATTTTTCTTTCTTTCTTTACCCTAGCACTCCTTTTTCATGCTCCCTCCATGCTTTGGATACGACGTGTGCCACCATTTTAAATAATTAGCCTGTACCCTTAGTACGAGATTTACAATTACGAAAACTATGATAGTTTTCGTGAGCTCGCACTCGTAGTAAGGGTACTGATTTTATTGTTTTCGTTTCAATACAAATAAATAGTGTTAAAATTCTATCATTAAATCATTTGCGTCTTCTTAAATTTTAAGTATATTTGGTTGCTTTTCACCAAAATGGACATAGAAACATAATTTACAATTTGAGTTTGAGCTCACGAAAACTATCATAGTTTTCGTGAGCTCAAACTCGTACTACGGGTACGAGTTTGAGAGAGCGAACCGCTCTAGTATGTGATTCTCTTTAGAAAAAGGCTTGTGTCCCAGAAATGGAACATTTGTCCCAAACATTTAATCATGTAGGTAATTCAAGGCCTGCACAGGACTCCGGCTTGTTGGGAATTAATGCAAACTGGAATGTCTATATTGACTGGACTAATATTCTTTTAAACTATTTTTAAGTGGTATCTTTAGTGATTTCCTGTTTTTTTTTTTTCTTCTCTGTTTCTGGAAATAATGCTTACAGTTAATAATATCTATGACTCTAATGTTAATAAGTCAAAACTATGTCTATTTCCTTATATATACTGAATCGACATCTTTTTGTGGGAATCTGATGACCTGATATACAAGCATTTTTATGCTTAGTTTAGGCGTCAGTCTCTCACAAAGTTCTACATAGCTAATTAAATAACTACCATAAGGTTATTATACAATAAGTGTTTAAAATGTATTTGTAAATGGAGGAGACTTAAATAAATAAATAAATGCTAGCTAATGCTGAAAAAAAAATTGTTAAAACGATTGTTAATGTAACTTATTTACTTGTTAAAATAAATACCTAACTGATTTTTTATGTTATTCGTACAATTGTTACAGAGACTAGGTATCCCGGTGGAGGTGGCAGCCAGATTCCAGATCAACGTGTACTTGGAGCCAAGTCCAAACGTAGCGTAAGTATCTATGAAGTACTAAGTGTCGCTGCACACGGGCCACGCGCCACAGTCACAAACGCCGCCACGAGAAGCTAAAAGCGGCTACTAGAGTGGCTGAAGCGCGCGACAGCGGCCGACTAAGGTAAGGGAGAGAGGGGTGGGGAATCGCGCGAGTGACGTGCGGCGGCGTTTTGTATCGGCGCATTATGTGGCTGGTGCGGGCCACAAGAAGCGAGCAATGACGATTTGTAGCGTGTGGCGGCCACCGGCGTACCGTGTGTGGCGAGTCCATATAAAATGTATGAAAACTACAAGAAATATGCCGGTGGCGGCGTTTTGTGGTTGTGGTCGGTGGCCCGTGTGCGGCGACACTAATTATCGTCTGCTGCTTGGTCCGCGTGGAATTTTTTCTAGTAAAATTTTCTTTAGATTTAGACATCCAGCAGTTAAATGCTTAAATAATAAAAATGTAACTATAATTGCTATTTCTTCTTTCAAATGTTTAATACTTGCAAATGTATTCATTTGATATTGCGGGTTACCTACAATGCGAAGAGATGTCGCTGCCTTTGACCCTAAGAAATACTAGTGAAAATTCGCCACGGACAATTAGGGCCGCGGTAGCATAATTAGTCAGTGCATCCGCCCGGATAGCGGAGGGTGCGGGTTCGAGTCCCGTCTGCGGCCTGGTCCGTGTGAAATTTATAAAAAATAAACATATAACCACCTTAAAATTATTGGCAGAGAATCTAGAACCTTTACAATATTTTTTAATTAATTTAAGTACATTTTTATGGCAGCAACAATTAATTCCAAAAATATGACATAAGTCATTAGGGTATTTGACAAGTTTTACAAAACGATCTCACGTTATTGAATATATGGAGTCCGTAAAAAGTGGATATTTATCATTCTGTTGTGTATTTCAGTAAAAATAACCAAATCAAAAACTCCATTTTCAAGTTGCCGCGAAAACGTTTTTCTAGACAATATGGCGTCTTACTAGCGTGTGACGTCACACGACTGTTATTAAAACGTCAAACGATACAATACCGGAAGTTTACTTGCTTGTGACGACATTTTATGCTCCGCCAATCCCAAGAGTTTTGGGTCACGTGACAATTAAATAAAAATAGTAAAAACCCCTGCCAATATTCATTCTAAACACAGATGCTAACAATTGGCACTTTTAATTTTCCTCTACTTTTATGTTTATTTTTCTTTTACTTAATAGTCCCTATTTTATGGATCCTAAATATTAAAGATTAATATTTTATAACTCTATTGAGTGTAAAAAATAATCATTAAATTTGATTATAACAACAGTGAAATTATTTCGCTACACACAAATTGAATCGATCGATCTTTTATTGATCAAATTGAAGACAATGTTAATCGCTGCAAGATTACATCGATCATAAATACTAAGTTAACGACATCAGGTTATGGGAAAACCCGTTCTGATGAACTACATATCTGTATATAAACGAGTTTCAAATCTTTCTCTTAGCTGTTGTCAGTAGGCCAGGTCAGAGATTCAATTTATGTCAAACTGCTTAATTTAATTTAGTGTTTATAGACAGAACATTTTATAATATCCCATTATATATGCATATGTTTCGGTAGTCTTAATATATAAAACTCAAAGGTGACTGACTGACATAGTGATCTATCAACGCACAGCCCAAAGCACTGGACGGATCGGGCTGAAATTTGGCATGCAGGTAGATGTTATGACGTAGGCTCCGCTAAGAAAGGTTTTTGTATCAATACCCCGAAGCGAAGCGAGGGCGGGCCACTAGTAACTTATAACGTTATCTACGGCCTAACAAAGGTTCAAAGTTGATTGAACATCATCATCTGGCTATTAATGGACATTAATGCTGACACTGCTGGCACAGGCCTTCCCAAAGGATGGCATAGGGAGATTGGGCCCTGACACAGGCCCAGTGCGGTTTGGTGGGTGCTAACGATTGCAGATGCAGCCGGGACCAACGGCAACGGGCCTTTCGAAGCACGGAGGAGCTCAAGATAGTACTTTCGGTCACCCATCCAATGACCGACCATTGCGAAAGTTGCTTAGTTTCAACGATCGCACTAACCACTTGTGCCATCGAGCTCCTCGAGGCGATCGAGGTTGAACATAGTTAATATTATATGAGTTTTAAATTTTAACTCTTCGCAGGAAAATTCAAACTTTTTTGGTAGCAATAACTATGATATGTTAATCTATATATATATATATATATATATAAAACTCAAATGTGACTGACTGGTATAGTGATCTATCAACGCACAGCCCAAACCACTGGACGGATCGGGCTGAAATTGGGGGGGTTAAATTTATATGATGAATACGAGAGCACTTGTTCCTAAGCCACGTATGTCTATAAAGATATACTTATCAGTTTATCATTATTATAATAATGTATTTTATCCATGAAGCTAGTAGCTCGCATTAAAATAACCCTTACAGTGCTTATTTTCGTGATATGCTAATTCGTGTGAGATTTTGAAATATTTATTTATTAATTGGTGTCAATTCTGGCATGATTCTTTAAAGTTAAAACTAAATTTAACATCAGTCTCTCCTCACCATTCTGTATAGAGAATGACAAGGATACACTGCTGTCAAATTTTCTTTCAGGTTTAGAGAATCAGCCAGAATCGACACCAATATCTGTCTACTTTTTAGTAAAGATAGCTAAAAAATTATGTTTATTTTGATACGCAGATTGTACGAGCACGTGCCACGTATGCTGTTCCCCGTATTCTGGGTGCAACAACGAGTAACATTAGACTCAAATACGGCACAAGAATTAAGCGTAGTACGAGGCGCTCGCGACTGGGGCGCTACCGCGTGTGCGGCCGCAGCGTTGCTACTCGCCGCTGTGGCCGCGCTCGCCACATGCTGCCCGCCGCACGTCAACAAGAAACTGCATCGGTTGCACGACGACCTCAAGCATTGCTGCCCATCGCGGATAGAGTTCAGCGATGACCAAGACAAGATCAAAGAGGATGAGCTCAAATTGAACCCTATGTGATTCTCGATTAGGTACATAAAAAGTTTCTGTCGACTATAATTCGACTGTCCACGACTTTTATTTACATTGAAGCAGATTTCAGCATTGCCCGTTTAATGTCTGACCTAGGCCAAATGCACCGGTTACCTGACTACTTTTTTTTTAAACTGCTGCTGGGAACGGCTGGAGTTTAATGAAGTAATTGAGGACAAGTTGATTTTCATGCCAATGTGATCATTTACCACACGACAGGCCTATTAATCTGAGCTGCGAAGTTGTAATACAAAGGAGATCTTGAAAAATCAAAGAAGACCAATTCTGATCGGTAAATACTCTCATCATAACGTGACTTCTAGGTTGTTTAGTCGTCGAGTATATCGCTGAATTAGATATTAGAATGATTTAAATTTGAACTCGCTTCACAATTTTAGGGTCAAGCTTAAATAATCTCGTAAGATCAAAGAGAAACTTTTTACGGAGTTCTTGATACAATCGCTCACCCAATAAAATGAATATTAAATATTTCACACGTAACAATTTCATATCTACGAGTTTTTGAGTTTATTGTATAAACTTTATTTAAAATACTATTATCGAAGCTGCTTTTAAAAGTTTTGGCATAACATCCAGCACTGTCGGTTTAGTCAGTTGTCGTGTAGTTAGATGTGACACTAAAAATACGAAGTTTAGTGGATACGAGAGAGACTTTCTAATAAAAAGTGAGCAGTTATTTATTGTGTTTTGGGAACAAATACTCTGTAGTGTATTTTTTTACAATAGATATATTCTTCACAAAGCCATCGATTTTAAATTAAATGTACAAATGTAGTTCTAAGTAACATTTATCATATTTTATTTTAGTTGTAATGTTAAGTGAGAAAATATATGTGGGATCATTAAATTTTATAGGTATTTTATAAATTTGAATTCTATGTAGTATTACAGCTAGAAAAATAGATCAAAAAATTATAGTATGTATTGCTATATTTTTTTGGAAAAAGAAAAAACCAAAAATACAAAATATAAATATATTTTTGGTTTAGGGTTTTCTATGTTTAATTCTATTTGATACTCTGAAATCCTGTTTCAAGACGTGATTTCAGAGCCAGCTTGTGTGACAATATTAGTTGAAAACCTGTCTTGATCAACACTATTTCAAATTTGAGCATGGCTCCATAAGTCCATAATAATAATTTCCTTTTTTTTTGTGTTTAAAAAGTCTCAACATAATGTAATGATAACAGTTGGGTAAGTGTATGATGGTATTTTTTTAAATAAGTAAAAATTAAAAATTTGATGATTTTTAAGTTGTATTTTGTGCCATATCAGTGAATATAAGCGATCGACCAAAAATTATTAATTGTTATATTTTTATAGTTATTAAATTTAGATACCAAATAAACTTATGTACTCGTTACTCGATACTGTAAGAACAATATAAATTGAATTATAAACATAATCTATCTTTAGATAAAAGACATAATATAATATATAGAAAAATCTTGTCCTTTTTACAATCTAGATTTACAATCTATTTACTTTTTATACTTCCATCATAATATATAAATCTTTTTATATATTTTTTAAATAATATGTATTGTGTAGTGCAGAAGATATGTTTTATACATCAAACATTTATAGAGGGTTAATGGGGTTAATTATTTTTACTTTTAACGAAAGAGACAAAACATACTGATAGTCGAAAATATTAATGAAACATATTACATTTTTAAATCTTGTGGCATATAAAAAGATATAAATTATCAAGAGCGCTGAAATTGCAAAATAAATCTGGTTTTCTTTTTTTATAAAATTCCTTTGTTTAATTACCTAAGTATTATCTATAAAAATCATAAGAGAGTCTATACATTTTGTAACCAAGAACTTAGTTGATATACACTAACAATTACTATTGATAAGTTTGTACAGTAGTTTTATTATTTAGTATATGTATTCTTATAATATTATATTAGGTATTATTTTCATGAATGACAATAATATAATTACTATTTATGTATTTTAATGATAATTCTCTTCAGTAAATTTTAAATCAAGTTATGATTTATTTATTTATATCCATGTTGGATTAGCGACTAAATGGTACATATGTAAAAACATTATTAATGTTAAACTTTGGCATATTTACTATTAACTGTTTTGATAATGTTTTATAAGCAAAAATGTTTAAACACAACGATAATAAAATTATTTCAATCAAAAATTTCGATTCTGGCATTTTAATTATAGTAAGAGTTTGAAGTTATAATTACTTCATTGTTATTTGATTTATATTTCATTAGTTTTGTAAAAGCACAAGGGCCGTAAAAATCATATAATAATATAAGTTAAAAATAATTAACATTGTCTTACTTTGTGTACTACATAATTAAATAACTAATGGATGGATAATGGTTTATAGAAAAATATGAGTATTAATATTTTGTAATGAAACGAATTAGCGTAATCTCTAAATACTCTAATTTAATGTTATTAATGGGAAATGTTTTTCAATATAAATATTGGAGATGTTTGGTTATTTTCTAATGAAACAACCAACACTATGTATTTTTAGTGATTATTACAAATTACCGATTATTAGAAAGATATCAATTTACGAAAAAAGAAGCAGTTATTTTCTTTTGTTATACATAGCGCAATGTAAATTCAATACATTTCTTTTCGTTGAAGTCAACGTTGAATTAACTTGGAGAATAGCACCACTGAACGTGTTGCGGTTCAGCTGCGTAAACAAACAGATTAATAAAAAATGTTCCGCAATTATCAGTTTATATTATCAGGTGTAGATACGGATCATCAACGCATAAAACAATCCGCTGTCTCGCATTAATTTAAGCATAATTTTCACTCCGAATATGAGGCAAAAAAATTAATTGGACAGTATAGCATATAAGTACCTACGAATTTATAAATCGTATAACGCAAAATAATGTGGCAGCGAAATGCTATTTTGTTATGTTTTTACTAGCATTTATCAATATTATAAACTAATATAAGTAATAATATTAATTAATATATGTTGTAAAGTGTAATTAGTTTTTGTATATGGATGAAGGAATTATTTTTTTTACATTATTTTTGTAATATAAAATTGTATTTGTGTACTGACCTATGATGAAGTAGCGAAATTTGTGTAAGTATTATGTGTAATATTAAAATATTTTGTAAGACGAACCTTGATTAATTTCTTAAACCTTTTTTTGTAAGAAGGTTGTCCATCTAACATAAATGGCTTCTTGATTCTAAGTGGTGGCCATAGCTTATACTTATTAACATCCTAATAATTGAGAAATGGATGCATGCGTCGATGTTTCGAAATATCGATGGATGCATGCGATACTAGAATAGGTATCACTCGCAGTTGTATGCCTTGACTTTATTTCTACTGTGTATGTACTATTTCTTGTGCAGCAACTCTATAAAATATTAAGTAGGTAAAACCTAAAACCTACTCCTATGATTGGATTAGAGAATGCCCTAAAACATTTTTACAATTGCCTTTTATTGCAACTGTTAATAAAGGGCAATTTTAAGTAATGCTAAGTTTTTATAAATAAAGAATATTTCATCATCATCATCATCATCAGCCTATTAATGTGGGGTGATTACGCTGCTGGGGCACAGGCCTTCCCTATGGATGGAATAGGTAGATTGGGCCATGACCCACCACGCGGTCCCAGTGCGGATTGGTGGGTGCTAACGACTGCAGGTGCAGCCGGGACCAACGGCTTAACGTGCCTTCCGAAGCACGGAGGAGCTCGAGATAGTAATTTTTGGTCACCCATTCAATGACCGACCACTGCGAAAGTTGCTTAAGACCATCAATTGCAGCCGAACGCGCTAACCACTTGCGCCATCGAGCTCCTCTAATATTTTTACAAGAATATATTCAACATAGCTTAGTTATCAGATTGGTCTCGAACCAGTTTCGTTTATTATCTGGGCGAAGGTACTGAATGAATTTCTTCTAGTAAGCTTAGGCCTCTTAATATTGCAGAAAATATATATAAAACTTAACCATCTAGGTACTTCTGTACCGTCGTTACCCTTTGTGTCAGTAGTACCATTGGCTAGTACCATTGAGTATGGTATTCCCCAGGGAAGTATAATCGGCCCTACCCTTTTTCTCGTTTACATCAATGATTTATGTAACCTTAATTTAAAATGTGGTAAAATTATATCTTACGCCGATGATACGGCCTTGATTTTTAGCGCCAATAGTAGGTCAGAATTATATGAGGTAGCTCAACTTGGTCTTAATGGTGTAAATAACTGGCTTCGCTCCTATTTACTAACACTGAATACTGAAAAAACCAATTATATTCAATTTTCTATGCGCCAGACTTGTCATGGGTTTACAAATCCTAACTCATACGCACACCAATGCCAATATCCTTCAGTCAATATATGCGATTGCCCTTTAATACGGAACACATCCCATATAAAATATCTAGGTATCTTAATTAACGACACATTATCTTTTAGACAGCATATTGCAAATCTAGTAGTCAGGATCCGTAAATTAATGAATATTTTTAAAAAATTACGTACCATTGCAGGTCCAAAACTAATTAAACAGGTATATCAGGCCTTATGCCAATCAGTAATTGAATATTGTATAACTTCATTGGGTGGAGCTCTCAAAACTATTTTAATCCCTCTCGAGCGAGCTCAGAGAGCCATTTTAAAAGCAGCCAATTCACTTCCCTTCTTATATCCTACGCATCAACTTTACAAATATTGTAATGTGTTAACTGTTCGCCAGCTTTTCATTATGCACAACATATTTAAACAACACACCATTTCACCTTTTTGCTCTGATATCACTAACAAAAGACGGAAAGATATAGTCTGCATCTCTACACATGATTCAAAATACATCTTTTCACATATATAGATTCTCTACTTTCCTAAGTCCTTTCTTATATAATAAGTTAAATAGAGTGTTAGGTATTTATACATTAAACTATTTGACTGTAGAAATTTATTTAATTAATTGCACAGCCTGACATACGAGCAGACCGAAGAATTACTTCTTATTTGTAAATAAAAGAACGTAACTCCATAATTTACATTTACCAACATTTATACAATGATTACTTTAAGTTCTGTTTTAATTAATTTGTTAATTTATTAATCATTCAATGTATTATTTAGATCATAAAAGCCTGAAATAAAGGTACAATTTTAACTGTAACCTAGTTCAGGCATCCATTATTTTGTACTTTATATTATTATTAGTATTATTATGCAATGTATGACCTTATTTGAATAAAGATATATTTTCATTTTTTTAATTTTTTTATTGAGGTTACAAGGAATGTGCACAAGTGCCATAACTTTGTATGTAGAGACGTAACTTTGTACCATCAATGGTACTAATTTAAGGTAATACCATCCATGATGTTTGATGTATCGCTGCTGCTGTAAACTATTCAAAGCATAGACCGAGTACTTGGCAGAGCAATCCCAGAAGTGGGAGCAATATTCCATGCAAGACTGCATCTG